ACAAGTATTTTCGTAAAAAAAAATTCAAATCGGTTAATATCTTCTGTTCGCGCATCACACTTGAGCTTTTGAAAATTTTACTAGAAAAATGCACATTTCTATATTTCTTAGAACTATGTTTCAGTTGTCGTTTTCCAAAATTTTACTTATTTTATGTTGATGTTGAATTATTTAAAAGGGTTATTTTGTATTTATATCAAAATAGTGGTTTTAAGAATTCAAAATAAGTAAGTTGTTTGAACAAATTTCACGCATTCTATTAGGCTTTTCACGCTTAGCTTTCCCCAGGATCAACGACAAGGACGTGGTGAAAAATCTGATCCCATTTTTTTTTGTTTTTTTTATATTTTATAATTTTTTTTTATTTTTTTAAATTTTATAATTTTTTTGTTTTTTTAAATATTTTTTATTACTTTTTTTTTAATTTTTAATTTTGTTTTTCGATTCCTTTTCAATTTTTGTTTTTTCTTTTGTCTCTTGTGCATTGTGTAGAAAATATTATTAAATATTATTATTAAAAAAATATGCGATAGTGAAGATTTGTATATTAAACTCTCCTTATGCGTGAATTGCAAACTGGGATTTATGATCAAATTTAGGCAAACTGGAACGAGAAAATAAAGTTGAGCGTATGTAACCATCCCTATTTTGATAACCACATACCTTCTTCGACGCTTCAGTGACAAGCTTAACAGTTCGCTCTACCGCTTGAGTGTGACATGGAAAGCTTACCAAGTTCCATTGAGAGATAGATAGTTGGTTATCAATGGAAGATAACAGATCTGCATTTGAGACATTCCTTAGTACTGGAGGAGGTGATAGTACTGTAGAAGACCAGTCGATCATTTCATAGTAATTAGTGGCATTAAAGTTCAGTTTTGGCAAAATGAAAGAGCGCACCGAATTCTTCGCAGTAGAAGTTGTCTCTCTGGATTTTAAAATCCTTTGTAACCCAATCTTACGTACATTCAGATTATCATCTGTGAGCATAGACAAAAGCAAATTTTCAGGATGCGCGAAATAAGCATTGTGTTGTATTACAGGATCAACTACTTTCAGAAGATGTTTTGGTAAGTATCGAGAATTTTTAATCATAGTGAAGACATGTCTCGCACCATCTGTAATTGAATCGCTTATTTTTATTTGAAACCACGTAGGCAAATACACTTTCATTATAAATGTAACTATGTGAACTAAGTTTTCGGAAGGGTCTTCACTTGATATGTATAGTCTCAATGTTCTGTTTGCTAGAGTGATCCAACGCGCGTGGGAGAGTCTTCCTGGATCTCGCAGAGAAAGATCAGATGAACAGTTACCTGAATGAGTAGCTTGCCCAATATCGTAGAGATATTTTTGATCTTTACTTAAATTGTCTCTGCATGTGACTTGTATGAAATCACACTCAATTTTATTGAAATTAACAACAGGCAAGTGTTCAACGCTCTGAAGTTGTTTTCCGATTGTTCCTGAAAATGAATTCGGTCCACTTGTTTTTCCATCAAAATGTTGAAATAAGTGTCGCAAAGGTAATTCATTTGCATGAAGCAAGCATATATTCCACTGAATTGGTCTGTTCAAGTATATTTCAATAAGCCTAATAATGCCACCTCTCCAGCCTGTATTTGTTGATGTGCCATCACAACCAACTAGAAGAAGTTCACTAAAATCAAAGCCCTTTTCATTTAAGTGAGATATCATACTTTCAGTGATACCTTTGCTTGTACCAGAACTAGGCGTTATGTGAGATATATATTGAGAACCAGGCTCCATTATAATAGAGACATGTTCTTCCTTGCACGTTTTGCGATAACGCTTGGAGCCTACTTCCTCCTGGTATAAGGTCTCATCTTTTCTTCCATCAAAATAAAGGGATGTAAGGGCTTCGGACATAGTTTTAGCTTCCTGTTGCAAGGCTTCTCTGTTTTTAGATTTCTCCCTTCTGATTTTATTTTTATCTATAACAAAAGTCAAGTCTGTAGCAGTGACGATTTGTAGGTCTTTCAGGACTGACGTCGCAATAGCAGCGGTCGCTCTTTCCGAAACACCGAATCTGTCACTAATTGCTGCAGTTTCAGGAAGATTAATGCGCATTTGTGAGGTAGAAGGCTTTTGAAAGTACGATGTTGACGGCCTGAGAGCGAATGTTGGATCTTTGATATGTTCTTCTACTTCAGGTGAATGATTCTCTACGAACTCTATAATGTTGGCACCAAAATCATCTGAAAAACCTTTGGCATTGTCAACAGAAGAAGTGAAAGCACATGTCATGTTATGTTTTATTTTTTCATTTCTTTCAGCTCGACGATTAAGTTTTGCAGTTTCGAGTACATCTATAGAACCAATCTTTCCGACTCTGTCAGCTCTTTGATCAAAAAGAAATTTACGTTCTATAAGAGGAATTTTACGATCTTTTTCGCATCTACAGTCAATAGAAATAGGGTTTGGGCAAATACATAATGACAGAGGTTTACCGCAGTTACAGTCATTTGACATTTGCATGAAGAAATGTCAAAAATTTTCGCTGCTTCGGTCTTGAATATTTCAAGATCCTTCTGAAACTTAGGCCTTTCTTTATCTCTTCTGTAAGACTTTCTTTTTTTCCAATATTTGTCATGATATGCAGAAATCATTTGTTCAACCCTGGTTTGAGAAACTGTGGGAATAGATGCTGTCAAGTAAAGCATCTTAATTTTCTCAGCTACCACGTTCGTTATTGTTGAAAAAGCAATCTTCTGTGGTGGTAATTCCGAAGATGAAGACATAACATATCTTTGTTCAAAACAACAAAGAATAACGTCAGCATAAGAGGGAAGATTTCTTAAAGAAAAATTCTTAGGAGCACCAAATATTGGACAAAAATGATCTTTCCTAGAAATATGAACTCGGGGTTTTTCTGTTTTTTCATCCATTTTAAGCAAAAATAAATATACTACTAAATAACAATTATATAAAGTGTCAGTGAAAGACAATATTATTTGACTTCTAAATGTTGCATACAAGAGTCACAGTAGCAAATGAAGTCTAACTCTTCCACCACTACTAAATCTTGAACAATAATTGTACCAATCGATATAAAGTTAATTATTATGGAAAAGCTAACAATCAGAAAGCATGAGTATCAAAATAATAATAAAAAATAACAATTAAATATTACTTTCAAGAAGTTAAGGAAATAAACTATTTTTCAAAGATTTTTCAAAACTATAAGTGTGATGCGCGAACAGAAGATATTACCCGATTTGAATTTTTTTTTACGAAAATACTTGTATTATTCCATAGCAAGTTTTCCGCACTATTAGAATTTGAAATGAATAACTTGTTGGAATTCGAACCACCCTACTGCACACGGGAAGGGGGCTTGCGATGGAATTGGGGGGTGTGTAAAGAGAAACGCATACCGTGCAAGCTTGCAAAAAGAAACTTCAGCTGCAATAACAACAACGACAAAACTTTTCGAATGGGCTCAAAGTTTTTTCAAAAAAATTGATTTTTCATATTGTTCTGTTCAAGAATACGAAAATCACAAGAAGTTTTTACAAAAACGTTTTTTAAATGCTAAAACGATAAAAAACACTCGCCAGTTTCATAGTTATGTGCCTATTGATGGTAACCAGTTGAAATGTAAAAATTTTTCAGATGACACGAATTTTGTTATCGTGAAAATGGTTTGATAAAAGTACTATGTATCTGAATTACGTCTAATAAATTACTGTTGTAGAAGTAATAAGGAAAAATTAATAAAAATCAATTTATAAGACAAGCATATTAAATAAACGTTTTTTCAAGAACAATCGTGTCTCAACGCGTCCTAGCGCAGCGGCCGCGGCAGTCCGAGCCGAGGTCCGAGCGCTTGCACGCCCCTCTTTAAAATTATGTCATTTGCTCAATTATTAAAGGTACTAAGATTTTGTTTTTGGAAATTAAAGTATAGAAAAAATAGATTTCAGTAGTTTTTAAATTGTTTTCGTAACTAGTCCAGAAGTCACTTAAAACTTTAATTGTTTAATTAATTAACAATTAATTTTGCATAAATAATTATGAATTTTTTTAAATTTTATTGTTATTAATAGAGGCAGTATTTTTGTACATTTCTGCCAAATATTTTTAAATTTTATCAAAAAACAACGAAGAAATATTAAATTTTCTAAAAAGGTACTTTAAAGTTTAATTGTTTATAACTAATTGAAAAATGAAAATTTTTTAAAACGCATTCCGGGAATGTTTTTGTATCACCCGGCTGTAACAAATTATGTATAGATATAATGTAAATTTAAAAAGATTGTTTTTGGTGGCCCAGTTCAGAAAATTTGACTCTATTATATTATTATACTATATTTGTATGAGCATTTGAAAGGATTGAAATTGTAAACTTTTCAACTACTGTCGCGGAATTCAGAAGCATAGGACAGAAATAATATTCAAAAGGATAGAATTTTTTTAATGCTTCTTAATCTTTGCTTTCTTACTGGGTATTCAAGAGGATTGATGTAATGTCGTAAGTGTCCACTAGATAGCGTAAGACATGTTATGAACGAGCCATAAGCTCAGTTCCATGTATGCCAGTCTTGTCTGTATATCAGCCAGTAAAGGTTCCAATAAATTACGTACTTTATATTTCAATGAGTCTATTTTATTATTTATTATTTTATGTCAGAGACATCACATTGGCGACGAGGATTGAAAGGTTATTTAGTGCAAAGTATAGTATGTGCATATAGTGAAAGAAAAAGATAGAAATTACAAAATTCACAAAGTGTCGACGGCGTGGTCTTGAACAGTGAGACGATTCTAAAGTGAAAATTATTGTTTGGCAAAAAAAAAGGGGGGCATCAACGGCTGGTGCATGCTCTCCTGTTGTGTGCGGTTTTGAATATTTTTTATTTGAAAGGAGAAAATAGAAAATTGGGATCTGGAAGGACCAGACGCGCAAACAAAGGAAAAGGACGCTTATCCATTTTATGTGTAGCCATATTTGATTTAATTTTCAACAAAGTTTACCAGGGGGCACTGTGAATTGAGGAAAACTCGGACCGTAGAACAAGGAACGATTGGAACGTAACCACGAAAACAACATGGCTGATGCAGAAGAAGGAAACATACAAGGTGGAAATATGACACAAATTGCGATGCATGCACAAATTGGTACATTAGCAGAGTACAAATTAGGAGAAGATTGGCAAATTTACGAAGAGCGTCTAGATCAATATTTAACAGCGAATTATATTAAAGATGATAGAAAAGTATCTGTATTATTGACGGTCATTGGTCCAGATGCGTACAAGGTTATAAGAGATTTGGCGAATCCAGATTTGCCTAAGGATAAAACATATTTGCAGTTGTGTGAGATTTTAAGAAGCCAATTTTCACCTCGAGTGTCAACATTTAGAAAACGAATTGAATTTTATGAGACTAGACAAGAACAAAATGAAAAAGTGAGTGAATGGTACGCTCGAATTAAAAAAGTGGCGGCTGATTGCAAGTTCGGGAATCAGTTGGAAGCGATATTAAAAGATAAGTTCATATCTGGTTTGTGTGAAGGAAGAATACGAGAACGTTTGTGTGAAGAGGAAGTCACGAAGTCTTTGAACGATTTAAAGGAAATTGCATTAAACAAGGAGCTGTCACTACAAGAAGTGGAAGTCAACAAAATGAAATTCATCCCAGGCAAACGAGGAGGATCAGCTGGTAGCAAGGCGCAAGAACATAGTAAATGGCAACAAACTCAGGACAACACCAACAAGGGACCAAAGGGAAACAACGTCAGCAAAAAAGGGTCGGCATGTTTTGCTTGTGGTAAAGGTGGTCATGTATTTGCGACATGTAAATATAAGAAATACAAATGTAAAATTTGTAATGAGGTAGGTCATTTAGCTGTTATCTGTAAGTCTAAAACTAATCGTGTACATTTTTCAGAAGAAGCTGAGGAGTTAGAAATGTTTTATGTTAAAAGTGAAAATGGGGTAACTCAATTTATGTTAACCGTGTTAATTCAAGGTGTACCTGTCAAATGCGAGTTAGATTCTGGAGCAGGTAGATCTTGCATTCCAATTGATTTCTTTGAAAGGAACCTCAGCAAATGTACAAAAAAGCTAAACACGTCGGTACAATTAGCTTTTTATGATGGAAGTATTGTCCAGCCAGCTGAAGAATTCGAAGCAAAGGTTGTATATAAAGGGAAAAATGTAGTAAAAAAAATTTTATTAGTTGACAAAGGATCTAGACCACTTCTAGGTAGAGATTTAATGCAATGTTTTGGTATAAAGTTTAATATTCCAGTCGAGACGTATAAAATCGATGAAAAACCGAATGGCGACGATTTAATCCAATTATTGGAAAAATATGACGAAATCTTTAAACAAGAATTAGGGAAGTACGCGTATGAAAAAATCAAATTAGAAGTAACTCCAGATATTAAACCGATTTTTATTAAACCGAAACCGGTAGCATATGCGTTTCGAGATAATGTCGATAAAATAATTGATAAATTAGAAAGTGACGGAATGCTGACTAAAGTAAACAATGGCAAGTTTGGTACACCTTTGGTACTAATAATAAAGTCTGACGGGTCGATTCGTTTGTGTGCAAATTATAAAATTACGATAAATAAATATTTAGTAGATGTGAATTATCCATTACCCAGAATCGAAGATCTTTTCACTGCTCTCCAGGGTGGGGAAGAATTTACAAAACTTGATTTTCTTAATGCTTTTAATCAGTTAGAATTAGATGAGGAAACAAGTGATTTGCTCACATGGAGCACTTGCAAAGGAATTTACCGCGTTAATAGATTGCCATTTGGCACAAAGCCGGCGTCAGCAATTTTTCAGAGAATAATAGAAAAAGTTCTACAAGGATTACCGGGTGTAGTTTGTTTTATTGACGACGTAGTAGTTACGGGAAAAACGCGACAAGAGCATCTTGCTAATTTAAATGGGGTTTTAGGAAGGCTTCAAAATGCGGGGTTCAAATTAAATATAAAAAAATGTAAATTTTTTCAAAAGGAAATCCGATTTTTGGGTCATGTGATTAACAAAGAAGGGTTAAAAACAGATAATAGCAAAGTAGAAGCGATTTTGAAAATTCCTAGGCCAACGAACAAAAGTGAGGTTAAAACATGGGTTGGTACTGTAAATTATTATTCGAAATTTATTCCGAATGTGGCGGAAATACTATTACCAATGTACGAACTGTTGAGGGACAATACGGAATTTAAATGGACTGAAAAATGTGAAAATGCGTTCATTAAAACAAGAAAGGAAATCACGTCAAAAAAAGTGCTAGTGCATTTTGACAGAACAAAACCGATAAATATGTATTGTGACGCTTCTCAGTTTGGTATAGCTGCGGTATTAACACATGTTTTTTTTGGCGGAACAGAGCGACCAATTGCATTTGCGTCAAGGGTATTACAACCTGCGGAAAAGAACTATGCGGTGATTCAAAAAGAGGCGTTAGCAATTTATTTCGGAGCTAAAAAATTCTATCAATATTTAATCGGAAATAAATTCAATCTATTTTCGGATCACAAGCCGTTAGAAGCACTTTTTGGAAAAAATAAAAGTCTCCCAGAAATGGCAGCGGGTAGGTTGCAAAGGTGGGCAGTATTTTTGTCGGGCTTTGAATATAATTTTAAGCACATAAAAGGCAAGAGCAATTGTATTGCTGACGGCCTATCGAGACTTCCAATCGAGACACAGGTAATTCATGGTTTTGATGACGGATGTGAGTATTTTAATTTTATTGAAAGTTCTGTACCTTTGACTGCGATTCAATTGAAAGTAGAAACAAGAAAAGATCCTGAGTTGAGTACAATTTATTCATATGTAGAGAAGGGATGGCCTATTAAAATCGAGAGTCATTTAAAACCATATGAAATTAGAAAAACTGAAATTTATATTGATCAAGGTGTATTAATGTGGGGTTATAGGATTCTTGTACCAGCGAAATTCAGAAATAAACTTTTAGAGGAATTGCATTTAACGCACGCAGGTATGGGAAAATTGAAATCAATGGCACGAGCGTATTTTTGGTGGCCGTTATTAGATAAAGAAATCAAAAAAATTGCGTTACAATGTCATGCGTGTCAATTGGAAAGACCGGATCCGCAAAAGGCAAAATTAAAACTTTTTGAAGAGGCTACTTTTCCATTCGAAAGAATACATATAGATTTTTTAGGACCGATTGCAAAAAAAATGTTTTTGATTGTTACAGACGCGTTCACAAAATGGCCTGAAGTTTTCAGTATGAACAATACAACGAAAGCGTTGAATGATCAAAAAAACAAAAATGTACAAATAGATACGATTGTCAATAGATATTTATTAAATTATAGGACTTCGACTCATTGTACAACGGGAGAAACACCGGCAAAATTAATGTTTGGAAGAGCGATTAGAACCAGATTTGATTTTTTGAAACCTGACGGTAAAAATAAAGCAATCGAGAGAATAAAAAGAAATCACAAAGGTAATCGAAATGTAAAATTTCAGGAAGGCGAATTGGTGTATGTGAGAGACTATAGAAATGTAAACAAGAAAGAGTGGGTTAAAGGGAGTGTGTGGTGAGTAATTGGGGATCAAACTTATTTATGTAAAATTCCAGGTTGTGAAAATATGTGGAAAAGGCATATGGATCAAATGTTAAAAGTTTATGAAATTGTTAAAAACGACGACAACACTAAAGAAAAGTCAGAAAACGTTGAGATTATATTGGATCCTGTTTGTGTTAAAAATCGAATTGATCAAAATGAAAATAGTCAAGAAAAGGCAAATGTAGATTCTGAAATAACTGATGTAGAGAATGAATTGCAAAAAAATAATGTTGATGAACAGGAGAAGGTAAATCTCGAAAAACCAATTATAATAGCGTCTCCAGAAATATCTAAAAAGCTAGAAACTATCAATAAGGAAATATATACAAGACCGAAAAGAAATATCAAACCTCCACAGCGATTAAACTTATAATAAGATTTTATAAAAATAATGTTTCAAATTAAAGGGGGAGGTATTGTAATGTCGTAAGTGTCCACTAGATAGCGTAAGACATGTTATGAACGAGCCATAAGCTCAGTTCCATGTATGCCAGTCTTGTCTGTATATCAGCCAGTAAAGGTTCCAATAAATTACGTACTTTATATTTCAATGAGTCTATTTTATTATTTATTATTTTATGTCAGAGACATCACAATTGATATCGTTACTTTTCATATTGCTCTCATTGGATAGAAAAGTATTGGACAGAAATGGCATTCAAAAGAATAGAATCTTTTTAATACTTTTCAATTTCTCGTTTCTTACTAAGTAGATGCTTGTATACGAGGTGACTTTTAAAGCATTTTTATTAATGTAACACTATTTTAAATTAATGTAGATAATAGAAATGAATTATCTCATCTAAAACAAAGCTAAATTCATAAGGGAAATGAAGTTTTAAGAAAAAAAGAATAATTTTGTTCAAAAAATTTATTCACACTGAAAAAAGGTTAGAATTTGATAATTCTTTGTTACTTTTACTTACCGACATTAGATATTTCTCGGATGCGGTAAGCACGATTTTGTATTAAATTTAATTATTTTATATAAGAACATTTATATAATAAATAAATAATAATATATTATTAATTAGTAATGAAGAAAAACTTATTTATTCTACCGCTAATACAAAATCGTGTTACTGCATCCGAGAAATATCTAATGTCGGTAAGTATAAGCAAGAGTAACAAGGAATTATCAAATTCTAACTTTTTTTCAGTGTGAATAAATTTTTTGAACAAAATTATCCTTTTTTTCTTAAAACTTCATTTCCTTTATGTATGTCGTAGGCAACTAGAAGAATCAAGCATTAAGCTTAATTCCTAGGCAATAAGCTTACTGCCGGCAATTAGACGAATACACGACGAAATCGTTCAGATTTGTCTATTTGCCTACACGGAGAGAAAAAAAAAGTGAGCCGTTTGATTTGGCAAGAGAGCGCTGTTTTCCCTTTATAAAGCGCAGCAGTTGCGCCGCAAACGTCGAACGGTTATACTTTTTGAGGAGTATCGGTTCTCTTCTCCACACAAATAGAGCCGCTTACTTTCCAAAAAGTTTACCCGCTTTCCCCAAAAAAGAGAACCGTTCTCCCCTCGAGAGTAAGCAGCGTGCTTAACCTCAAGTTGAACGGCTGTTTCGCATTTAACGCAACCGCTCTACTGACAGGTAGAGCCGCTTACTTTTTTTTCTCTCCGTGTAGGCAATAAGCTTAATGCCCGGCAGTAAGCTTATTGCCCGATGAAGATTCGGCAATTAGACGAATCACATTAGAATCCATTTGCAGTGCACAAACGTCCTATAAAAAATTAATTAAAAACAATAATAATGATAATAATAATAATGATAATAATATTCCTTGACTCATATAAATAATTCTCGACTAAAATAAATATTGCTTTAGTCAAATAAACATTTCTTAACTGAAATAAATCATTCTGGACAGAATTAAATATTTCTTGGGTAAAAAAAATATTTCTTAAGTCTAATAAACATTTCTTGGATCAATTAAATAATTCTGGACAGAATTAAATATTTTTTGAGTAAAAAAAATATTTCCTGAGTCAAATAAATAATTTATATTTTCCTAAGAAATATTTTTTTTCATCCAAGAATTTTTTTTCTTTTTGAGTCAAAAAATATTTATTAGACTCAAGAAATATTTCTCAATGATAACAAATATTTATAAGAGTGCCTGCCGTGTGATATAAAAACTTAGTTAACTGACATTTTGGTGAAAAATGAGTTTTTGGTATCAATGAACTCGTAAGAAAAAACTGCGTCTAATAGTTATAGTTTAAATTTTCTTGCAAATTATTGTTTGTAAAAAATTAATATTAAAAATCTAAGAAATTGCAGAAAATGAAGGAATATTTGATAAAAAGTTAAGGAAAGGACTTTGCGTAGTCCAAAAAACAAACGAGGCTACGAGCTCGAATGTAAGATTTGAAGGAAAAATGCCTTTAAAGGACTTTACCTAACTTTTACATTTACATCATTTACATCATTACATCATTTTACATTTATTTTTTTTTTACTTTTTTTTTTACTTCATATTTGCATTCGGAAAAACACGCAAGTGTTCTTTTTCATATAATTTGTTTAAATAATTAATTTTTTATTTCATAATTAAATGGAGCACCATCATTATACTCAGTATGTGAAGTTGAATAGAACAATTTTTTAATTTTTATTAGGGTTCTGAAAGCAAACCGTTTTTCCTTATTTTCTCGTTTCGATATAAATGTCAGTTAACTAAGTTTTTATTTCGAACGCCAGAGTCAAGAAGCATTTATTTGAGTCAAGAAATATTTATTTAAATCAAACAATCTCTATTTGACTCAATAAATATTTATTTCACTAAAGGAATATTTTAGTCAAGAATTGTTTGATAGACTTAAACAAAATTTATTTTAGTCGAGAAATATTTTTCTTTATGCAAAAGTAAAAAAATTATTTATTTGACTCAGGAGATATTTTTTTTACTCAAGAAATATTTAATTCTGTCCAGAATTATTTAATTGATCCAAGAAATGTTTATTAGACTCAAGAAATATTTTTTTTACCCAAGAAATATTTAATTCTGTCCAGAATGATTTATTATTATTATTATTATTGTTTTTAATTAATTTTTTATAGGACGTTTGTGCACTGCAAATGGATTCTAATGTGATTCGTCTAATTGCCGAATCTTCATCGGGCAATAAGCTTACTGCCGGGCATTAAGCTTACTGCCTAGGCAAATAGACAAATCTGAACGATTTCGTCGTGTATTCGTCTAATTGCCGGCAGTAAGCTTATTGCCTAGGTATTAAGCTTAATGCCGGATTCTTCTAGTTGCCTACGACATGTATATGTCCACTTTAATTATAACAATAAAAACCCAAAAAAATGAGAAAATAAATTTTTTACTTTTTACTGCGAAAAACGACATTTTATATATCAACGGCAACTATTATTACAAGAAAAATGACATGTCCCTAAAACCTCATGCAGTATATGCTTCACGAAATAGCGCGTTTACAGGTTATTAACATTATTTTAAATTCTTCATGGTTTCGGAAATATTTGACTTGATCGGTTTAGCCCCACACGGAGAGAAAAAAAAGTAAGCAGCTCTACCTGTCGGTAGAGCGGTTGCGTTAAATGCGAAACAGCCGTTCAACTTGAGGTTAAGCACGCTGCTTACTCTCGAGGGGAGAACGGTTCTCCTTTTTGGGGAAAGCGGGTACACTTTTTGGAAAGTAAGCGGCTCTATTTGTGTGGAGAAGAGAACCGATACTCCTCAAAAAGTATAACCGTTCGACGTTTGCGGCGCAACTGCTGCGCTTTATAAAGGGAAAACAGCGCTCTCTTGCCAAATCAAACGGCTCACTTTTTTTTCTCTCCGTGCAGTCTCCCCTACATTTTTAATATATTGAGAAAAATAATTATTCGTGAGTGTTGAGTTGGAAATAAGATATATATCTTATTATCTTATTATCTTCTGTACACAGAACCCACATAGCACCATATTTTGCGGGAAGCTAACGGGAAACTAACCATGTTAGCTTCTATAGTTAACACGGTTAGCTTCCCAGGGCCTATAAATGTCCTACGCTTTTAAGCTTTCCGTGTTAGCTTGCAGAAAGTTATCTAAGAAACTTTTCTGAAAACAAAGAGAGAAAACTTGGTGAAATATTAAATTGTTAGTTTTAGATAATTTTGCTTGGTTATCTTCTTTAAAACTATCTCTGGTAAGTATCTGTGAGCATTAGAAGGTAGTTTCTAGTAAGCGTCATAAGATAAGTAATATAATATAAATTGATATTATACAAATAATTATTTACTGGATTTCTGTAATTGTTTTTATTTATTTATCTATTTATTGTTTACTTAAACTTATTTAATATTTCTATTTATTTATAACTATAAAAATAGTATTTATAAATTTAATAAAAATAAAATAAAAAATATTTCTCTCTATAATTTATTTATTGCCGCGAGCTGATACTTATTTATTCCTCAATATCAATATTATATTGAAGAAAATTTTGAAAATAAATTTGAAGGGACTGGGGATAGAACCCGGGTTCGCAACGCAGAAACAAACAACCTAACCAACCATGTGAAAGGGAAAATGTTTCGGGCCTTCTTAAGCTTCAAGTGATCTCATTGGTTGGCGTCACTAATGGCGGGATAATTTAAAAAAGGATTCACAAATATATTTGAATTTTCTCATTACAATAAATAATTTAATTTCTAATATTATTTCTTAATTAAATCTTCAAAAAATAAGAATAAGTGCGATTCCATGGGAGATTTTAGTTTTTTCGGAGTAAGTAAACCAATTGCAATAAAATTTAGGAATTTTAATCTACACATAAAAAGAAATATTTCCACCAAATATTACGTCAAAATATTCAGTAGTTTTTGAGATGTCAAAATTTTGGAAAAATTTTGAAATCGTTATATCTTCGTTCCATTTTAACCAAATCACTTAATTTTCTTTGGAGAAAATTCAGCATAAAAAAACGAAAAAATTTTTTATATTATGTTTATACAAAATTTTTATAAACAAAAAAGTTATTAAATAATAATTGAATAACTTTTGAATAGCTTTACAGAATTGAATGAAATAAACACTGAAATAATCTTACCTTTGATTTCTTTAAGATTCCGAAAAAAATACCTGGCAACGAGATTGTCTTCATATAATATTTTTAATATTTTTGTTCACTTTTGAGAGTAAACATTAAAAGTTTCTGCTACTTTACGTGCAAATTCAGGTGCGCGCGCAGACCTCTCTCTCTGAAACCGGAAATTCGGAGATGATTAGAAAGAGAGGTCTGCGCGCGCACCTGAATTTGCACGTAAAGTAGCAGAAACTTTTAATGTTTACTCTCAAAAGTGAACAAAAATATTAAAAATATTATATGAAGACAATCTCGTTGCCAGGTATTTTTTTCGGAATCTTAAAGAAATCAAAGGTAAGATTATTTTAGTGTTTATTTCATTCAATTCTGTGAAGCTATTCAAAAGTTATTCAATTATTATTTAATAACTTTTTTGTTTATAAAAATTTTGTATAAACATAATATAAAAAAATTTTTTCGTTTTTTTATGCTGAATTTTCTCCAAAAAAAATTATGTGATTTGGTTAAAATGGAACGAAGATATAACGATTTCAAAATTTTTCCAAAATTTTGACATCTCAAAAACTACTGAATATTTTGACGTAATATTTGGTGGAAATATTTCTTTTTATGTGTAGATTAAAATTCCTAAATTTTATTGCAATTGGTTTACTTACTCCGAAAAAACTAAAATCTCCCATGGAATCGCACATAAATAAATAATTAAAAATGAAAATATTAAATTAGAAAGTTAATAGATAAGCATTAAACTAAACTTTATTTTTTTTTACTTAATTTGACTTCACAATTTTCTATAAAAAATGTAATTATGGTCTGTCTCAAAAATCAATGAACTCCGGTAATCTATTCGCAATTTGAAGTTAGTTGTTTCTGTTTGCATTTTGTTTCCTAGTTTCTTTTATAATTAATTACTCTTTTTAATATTTTAATATTTAAAATTAATGAAAATTCTAATGTAATAAAATGCTTTCAATATTAGAAAAGCAATTAAACAAAATTGTTGTCAATTAAAAATATTCCTTATGCGGTATTTCTTACTTAATTTTATAATTTTTAACCTGAAATAATTTAATTTTTACAAAAAAATAAATCCAAAATTTTCAAAATAATTAAATTTTTTCGAAAAATTAAAATAAAATCTTTTAAAAAGTTCATTCTTACGCAAAATTTAATTAAAATAATATTTAAAATATTTAAATTCTTATAAAGAGTTTTATCAAAATTTTTTATAATAATTTAATTCTTTTGTGAAAATAAATAAAATGAAATTTGTAAACACGTCAAGTATATTAAAATTTGAAAAAAGAATAGCAATTTTTATTAATGAATTATTTAATAATACAGGGTTGCCACAAAAAATTAATTCCGTTTATCCCTGACTTTTCTCTGGTTTCCAGACAAAATTTTGACTTTTTCCCTGACTCTAAAGAATATTCTGATTCATACTTAAAAAATTATTAGATAAAAAAAATATTCTTTTACATTTACTTACGAATTTCTTAAATTGTAAAATTATTCGCAAACATCAATAACTAAATTTTTAAATAAATATTTAATTATTATTTTCCCATAGGAATTAAAATTCTCCAAATCATTCAAATTCAAACATTTTTAAAATTCAACAACTTATCCCAGTAAACGAAAACTAATTGAAATGAATTAAAAAGAATTCACAAAGAGCTTTCGTGAATCCCGCTTTGTGACAAATACGAATTGGAGCCATGATGCAATTTTCCTGAATTCGTGAAACTGTATTGAACTTCCGAACCTTCTATCCGTACCAATTCACTGGACAAGTTTTGAGCCTTTAATTTTTTTCAATTCGTTAGCACGAATTCAATGCATTCCTTGGCCATTTCTTTCGAATGCGAATTCGTTTGGACAAATTGGTACATATTGAATTAAATTCAATTGAATATACAAAGAGCTTGAGTGAATCCCGCTTTGTGACAAATACGAATTGGAGCCTACCAAAAATGTTAATTCGTTTCAATTCATTTGAATTAGTTTTTTTTTACTGGGATAAGAATATTATTATAAAACATAAAGATATCAATCACTCCGAGTCTTTGACTCGGAGTAATTGATATCTTTCTGGTTTATAAAAATTTTAATTTCCATAAAATATTTCAAAAAAAGTTAAATTATTTACAAAAATTATAATAAAATTCGTTGCAAGAATTCAATTATTTTCATAAAAAATAAATTTCTTCAAAGGTTTTTAATTATTTTTAATACAATTTTAAATGAAATTATTTTCAAAAATTTTTTGCAAGAATTAAATTACATTTCACAAATAATGAAATTCTTCGCTGAAATTCAAAAATTTTCGAAAATCCAATTATTTTTACAAGTAGGTAATAAAATTTTTCACATGAATTCAATTTTTTTTTTTAAATTGATAAAATTTGTTGTAATAAGAATATTCCATTACACAGCCCCACAAAAAAAGAAAAGTACCCTGCGCGAAAGTCCACAGTACCATACCCCTATGTATTTTGATGCGCTGAACACGAATCCAAAGTCAGATTTGCTCCATCACGTCAGGACTTTTTTCTAACCTCAAAAAACATGTCAGATTTTATGTAATTTATGTAAAATACAAAATTTTTAAAAAAATTGATTAGATTTTTCTCAAACTTGTTTTTCGGGGGTTTTTAAGATCGCTGATTACGAATCTGCAGTCAGTTTTTAAAAATTCAAAATGGCGGATCCAATATGGCGGACAAATTAAAAAATTTTGTTGGATTTTCACATTACTTGGTATATGTATAGGGGTTTTCGGGGTCGCTGATTACAAATTTGCAGTCAGATTTTAAAAATTCAATATGGCGGTCATTTTTTCGAAAATTGATTTCTTTTGCTTTAAAATGGGTACTCACTGGTTTTTCGGATCGCTGATCACAAATTTCAAATCAGACTTTAAAAATTTCTAACAACTGGTCCAATATGACTTGATATGCAAGCATTTTGGGAGTCGGTGAATTTAAAAGTTTCGAAAAGTTTGTTGGTAAACATTTATGCAGCAGGAAATGCAGATTTTTGGTAACCTGAATGCCTAAATTAAAATGTATTTATCGAGACGACATC